AAGGCATGCTGGATTCAGGCAGCTCATGTAATTTCTTCAGCAAGGACTTTGCATTAGAGCACCAGCTCCACTTACTGCCTTTGGATTTTCCCTTGCAAGTGACCACCATTGATGGCAGGGAGCTTCTAGGAGGGAAGTGACACACCAAACCCCGCCAATGAGAATGAGGGTGTCCAGGCACTCGGAAACCATCGCCTTTCACGTCGCCTCGCTAGCAGGACCCCCAATAATATTAGGGATGAGCTGGCTAGCACAACATGATCCAGTGGTGGCGTGGCATCAGAGGACAGTCACCTTTGGGTCAGCTTACTGCCTGGAACACTGTCTAGGGGGGGAAGCCCCAAGAATGACCGTGGCCAGGGTGGCTGGGATGGCGGTGGAGCGGAAAGGGGAGGTGCCGCCACAATACGCAGATCTGCGGGAGGTCTTCAGCGAAAAGGGGCAGATAGACTGCCACCCCATAGGCCCTTTGACTGCCAGATCAACTTGCTTCCGGGGGCTCAGCTGCCAGTGGGTAAGCTGTACGCCATGTCAGACAGGGAGATGAAGGAGTTGCGAGAATTTATCGACAAGAACCTGAAAAGAGGCTTCATAAGAGAATCAAAGGCAGTAGGGGGCAGTCCGGTGTTCTTTGTGGACAAAAAGGACACAAATAAACCCAGGCTCGTAGTGGACTATAGAGCTGTCAATTTGGTGTCAGAACCCGTGACCTTCCCAATGCCCAGGATTGACGACATTTTAACGCGAGTGAGGAAAGGCAAAATTTTTACCAAGCTGGACCTCAGGGGCACATACAATTTGATCAGGATGAGGGAGGGGGACGAATGGAAAACCACAATGTTCACACCCCTAGGTGCCTTTGAGTACTTAGTTATGCCTTTTGGATTACAGTCGGGCTCCGCCTGTTTTCAAGCTTTCATGCACCACGTGTTGGGGTCTCTGCTGTACAAGAACTGCGTAGCCTTCTTGGACGACGTCTTAATTTATTCGGACAATGAGGAACAACATGTTAGAGACGTCAGGGAAGTGTTACAACGACTGCAGAAGCACCAGTTGTGGGTCAAGCTGGAAAAATGTCAGTTTCACGCCAGAGAAGTCGAGTTTCTGGGGTACAAGTTGTCTGACAAAGGCTTAGCGATGGACCCAAGCAAGGTGCAGGCAGTGCTGGAGTGGAAGGCTCCCAAAACGCGGAAGGACGTACAGAGGTTCCTAGGGTTCAGCAACTTCTACAGGAAGTTCATCAAGAACTTCGCCCACTTGACAGCGCCAATCACGGATTGTCTCAGTAGCAAAAAGAAGTTTGTGTGGACAGAAGAGGCACAGCAATCCTTCGAAAAACTGAAGAAGGCGTTCGCATCGGAAGAGCAACTCCTGCACGTAGATCTGGAGAAACCCCTGAGGCTAGAGACCGACGCGTCCGACAGAGCGGTGGGGGCGGTCCTTTTGCAGCCAGGGAAGGGAAAGCAGGAATGGAAACCGTGTGCCTTTTTCTCCAGAAAACTGAGCAAGTCGGAGCAAAACTATACAGTGTATGACCGCGAACTGCTGGCAATCTACACAGCCTTTCGTCGTTGGCGTCATCTACTGATAGGGGCGCAACAACAGATCCAGGTTTGCACAGATCACAAGAACTTGGAGTACTGGAGAACCGCACGAGTACTCAACCAGAGACAGATTCGATGGGCACAGGAGTTCTCCAAGTTTTTCTTTGAAATCCGCTACGTGCCCGGAGAAGAAAACGTAAGAGCAGACGCTCTCTCGCATAAACCGGAGTACCTGGAAGGAGAGGGGCCGCCGGAGAAATGACACGTGATCCCCGAGGACCGATGGGTGTGTGGGGGAACTTTGGTGGGGAAACGAGAACTAGCCGGGCTGACCAGAAACGACGTGTTCGCACAAACTAAAATCCGGGAACTACGAGACGGAAGAGGGACCCAAGAAGGGTTTGAGGAGAAGGAAGGGGTACTGTACTATAGGGGAGCGCTGTACGTACCGGGGGAGACCCTGAGGGAAAGGTACTCAAACAACTCCACGACAACCCCACAGCAGGGCACTTTGGACAGCACAAAACCATGATGCTTGTGACCAGGCAGTTCTGGTGGCCCAGGGTGAGGGAGGATGTACGGGAATATGTACGGGGTGCGACCGCTGCCAAAGGGCAAAGGGGAGCGGGCTGCCCCACAGGATTGCTGGAACCCTTACCCACGCCGGGAAACCCTGGGAGGTGGTATCCATTGATTTTATGACAGATTTGCCCAAGTCCCGGGGAAAGACAGCAGTCATGGTAGTGGTCGACCTACTGACAAAAATGTGCCATTTTATAGCTTGCTCACATGCTGTAACGGCAGAGGAAACAGCCAGGTTGTTTGTGGAGCACATATTCCGGCTGCATGGCGCCCCCTTGAGGGTTATCTCCGACCGCGGAAAACAATTTACTTCCCGGTTCTGGAGGAAACTCATGAGCTTACTGCAGGTGGAGGTGGGTTTCTCGACGGCGAGACACCCAGAGACCAACGGGCAAGCAGAAAGAGCGAACAGTATACTCCAGCAATACCTACGCTGCTATGTCAGCGAGAGGCAGAACGATTGGGTAGAAAAACTAGCGCTGGCTGAATTCGCGTACAACAACGCGGAACACGTGTCCACGGGAATGAGTCCATTCATGGCCAACCATGGGTGTCATCCCAGGGCCTTCCCGGGAGTGGGGAGGAAAGCTGGAGCGTACCCGCCGCAGAGCAGTTTGTGGAAGAAATGGAGGCCCTACACCAGCAACTTAAGATGAACTTGGAGCGGGCCAAGGAAACTTACAAGAGGCAGGCAGACAAGCACCGCAGGGAGGGGAGACCATACGGGTGGGAGATCGGGTGTGGTTGGCCACCCATGGGCTACCTTTCAACGGGGGGTGCAGAAGTTGCAGCCCAGATGGCTGGGACCTTTTGAGGTAACACAGCAAGTTAATCCCGTGGCATTTAAGCTCAGGTTGCCTGATAGCATGAAAATACACCCGGTTTTCCATAGGTCCCTGCTTTCACCGCATAGGGAAGGGCGGGAATTCCAGGGGCAAGAGGGAGAAGTCACCACACACCCGCAGGTAGAAGAAAGGGAACACCACCACAGGGCCACGGAAATACTGGACTCAAGGTGGCAAGGGCGCCGGGTGGAGTATTTGGTAGCGTGGGAAGGGGAACCCAGGTCCGAAAACACGTGGGTGCCCACGGAAGCCGTCGAGGACAGGTATCTGGTGGAGGTATTCCACCACCGGTTCCCGGACAAACCCAAACCCCTGGAGAGATTCTGGGAGGAGCAATTTGGAACCACAGATGAGGAAGAGGGTTTTGAGGGATTTTCTGACTCCGAGGAGGGAGGAGAGGTTTCGGAGGAAGAAGCATCAGACAGGGAAGACCACCCCGTTGGTAGGTGGAAGAGCGATTGGGAAGCGGGTTTCGAACCCACGGAAGATGGTGACAGTTCCTTCCGGGGTTTCCCCGCCTCCTCGGCCGACGAAGGGGACGAGTTGGTCCCACAGGTCGGCCCAGGGGTGGAGGGGATTCTGGGGGGGGAGGTGGATGTCAGGGAACTGACATCAGAGCGGGAGGCGAAGGGAGGCTCCTGGATGATGCTGGAGAAGGACCCAGCAGCAGGGGAGAGGCGACTCAGTGGAGGGAAGCATTTAAGCGCAACACCAGGAACAAAAGTGAGCAGATGGGAAAATCGGAGAGAGGGCTCACGGACTCTTCACTGGAACTCAGTGAGGAGGGGACAGGTCCTCCACTACCCACGCCCACCCTGCGCAGAAGGCTCCCGCGCAGTGAGAGGCGGAGAAGATTGGGTGTCAAACAACTCTTATGTTGGAAGAGATTCAAGAAACGCCCACTGACGGATTCTGCTAGTGACTGAGACAGTCATGATCAGAAAGGGCTGTGCAGTCAGAAAGGTTTAACAAGGCAAATCAGCCTAGAGAGGCACCAGTTTACGCACGAGTAACTCATACTCATTACAGTCGGGGATGATGGGAGCTGTAGTCCAGCAACATCTGGAAGATACAAAACTGGGGGGCACAAGATGTTGGACATAACATAATGATGGCTGACTGGGAACAGTTATGGACCACAGGTATGAAGTTTACGGCATGTAATGCCTTAAGAGAGAATATTATGAAAATGATTTATAGGTGGTACATGACACCAGTCAAGCTTGCAAAAATCTATCATCTGCCCGATAATAAATGTTGGAAATGTAGAGAAACTGAAGGTACGTTCTATCACCTTTGGTGGACGTGCCCAAGGATTAAGGCTTTCTGGGAGATGATTTATAATGAAATGAAAAAGGTATTCAAATATACCTTCCTGAAGAAACCAGAGGCCTTTCTCCTGGGCATAGTCGGCCAACTGGTGCCAAAGAAGGACAGAACTTTCTTTATGTATGCCACAACAGCAGCAAGAATACTTATTGCAAAATATTGGAAGACACAAGATTTACCCACCCTGGAAGAATGGCAGATGAAGGTGATGGACTATATGGAATTGGCGGAAATGACTGGCAGAATCCGAGACCAGGGAGAAGAGTCGGTGGAAGAAGATTGGAAGAAATTTAAAGACTATTTACAGAAATACTGCAAAATTAATGAATGTTAGAATGATGTTAGAATGAAGTTAAGTGGTTTTAGCAGCAATGTTATAAAGGTGTATGTAAAAATGGATTGTTAATAGGTGAGAATCCAAAGCTATAATATATTAAGTTAAAGGATTAAGATAAAAACAAAGAGGGAAAGGAATTGCTGAATTAACCAATTGAACTGGAATACAACAAAGGGAGCTGAGAGGAGGTCAGGGAAGCAAGGAAATGAAATGTAATGTACGGAAAGATTGATTTGTTTTTAAGTGTTTTTTATTTCCCCCCCCTGTATTTTGTATTTTGTATTTTTTCCCTTGTTTCTTTTCTTTTTATCTATGTAATCTTCTGTTTCTGAAACTTTAATAAATATCATTTTTTAAAAAAAATGGAAGATACAAAACTGGGGAAGGCTAGTGAGGTGGGGCAATTTTTTTTTATCTCCTGCCCTCCTACATGACATTGTGAAAATCTGGGCCTACCTGGTCCATGTTGGTTTCTATTTCCCTCACTGAGCAGCAGATGCATGTCACAAGACAATGTTTACATTCCACAGTCCGAGTTACTGTTGGGTTCCCACGGGAATGGGAGACTGGATGTGACAAACACTGGTTTCCTGTTTCTTTGTTCTGTCGTTTCTTTGTTGAGAGAGTTGCTCTCTGCTCTCACAGAGGCAAGATGTACGTTCTCGGTATTCTCGGTATAGTTTGGAAATAAAATTAGCAATGTGGCACTATACCTGCTTCATCCTTTCGTCTGCGGACTACACTCTGCTGGGCTCAGGATAAGACGAGCCGTACCAGCTCCAGATGGGCCGGAGCTGGACAAACTAACAGTCCATACCCTATCAGAAATTTAGTAGATAAAGTAAATGTATGGATTTGTAAATTTTATTTGAAGAGCTTTGTATCCCACCATTAAAATAACCTGAGAGCAGTTTACAAGATGTCAAGTCAAGAAGTCCTTCCCCATTTTTTATTCCATTAGGGTCAGTAAAAATAATTGTTGCATGTAGAAGCTGCAATATTTGTACTGGATCAATGAATGTATCTATATTCAATTAAGGGGCAGGACCTCTTTTAATTTAGCAGATAGGGTCAAGGGCTTTCTGTTTTCATTCAAGCTCCAAAATGCTGGGAAATTTAAGCAGTTAAGGACCATGCCATTAACAGACATGCTATTTATGCAATATTGATATGCCATAGTATCCTGGCCTGTGGTTAGTTCTAGATTCATCTCCACCTTGGAGCTGGATTACTGTCTGTTGCAGAGGAATGGACCTAAGCCTCTGTTCACTGAAATACACATGCGGATTCTAAACAATTTAAGTTACCATTCCACATTACAAGTACCTAACTGGCAACCAATACCATCCCTTTAGGATCATAGAGTTTGAAAGGACCTTGAAGCTCATCTAGTTCAATTCCCCTCACAGAGCTACAATTTCCAGAGTGGTTTAACATTTGATCCTTCTTCCCAGGGACTGTTGGGAATTGTAGCTCTGTGAAGGGACTCCTAACCATTCTAAGCACCATTAACAAACTACAGGCCCCAGTTCCTTTGCAGGAAGCCATGACCGTTTAAAGTGGCGTGATACTGCTTTAAATGTATAGTGCAGATGGGTCTAAATATCTGCCAGCTGTGCCACACTGAAACTTGTGTAGGTAGGTTTGTTTTTGTAGTATAGTAGAAATAAGATGTGTGCACAATGCATATCCCATAGGCTACAGGAAAGGATCAGAAGTTATATGACAGGCAGTTTCTGAATGCTAAGCCCATCACTTTGGTGAAGAGGAGCAATGGGCTGTTTATGAGTAAAGAGCCTCGTTCTTGGGGCTCAAAGAAAGAGTAAACTGTAAAACAATGATGGACACACCAAATTAATGCTTAAAAGGAAAATGGGATAGGTCACCCCACCCCAATCTGCTTGAAATGTGCAAAGTCTTAGCATCTATATCAGATGAAATAAAATCTAGTTTTGTTTATTATCATCATTATCATTATTATTTACACACACATTGCCAACATCTACCAGCTGGGAGATGAAAACGGTAATATATGCGTATTTGATTACTGATAGATTTTAACAAGGATTGAATTGCAATGTTTGGATTTTCACTGAAGCACAGAGAGAGAAATGAAACAGAAAGAGGGACCTATTTAGCATATGTGGGTTCATGTGATGTGGTTTCAAGGGGAAATCTTGCAAGAGCAAAAGGGGGCTAATGATACTCTGCATTGTACTATGTGGTTTCTGCACATGCAATTTGAATTTGAAAAGTATTCAAGAGAATAACATGTTCTTAAACAAGAGAAAGTAAACATTGCTGAAGTTCAAGAGATGCTGCTTTGTTGAGAAACTGAGCAAAGAAAATAAAGAATGGACAATCAAGGGGAGCAACTGGAGCATAACCACATCTTTAACAAACACAGCTAAATCATCATTGATGCAATAGCTGTTGAGGCATCTGATGTACCATTCCGTCCATTTTGTGGAATCAGTTTCAGCTATTGATGCTTGAAGATGCAGGCAATTTTCTTGCAGTTGTGTGGTCTACGACGTGGTCTCTTGACCCATGCTCACTGGTTTGTGCAAGCCATGGAGGGTTGACTAGGTAGAACCAGGATGTGGTGAATGCTTCATTGCATGATAGGATGGTCCCCAAGAAGGTGGTGGTGCAGCCACTGGGGGGGAGGGGAGGAAGGCAGTGAAATGAACCCAGAGGTTTATGCCAACTACCACCCAGTCAACAATGCACCTTTCTTTGGCAAGATGATTGACAGAATGGTGGTGGTTTAGCTGTCTCCCCCTTTTTAATATCAGGCTGTAAAGTACATGGATAGGCTCCTCCATGTAACCAGAAGCTACACTGATTGCTAAGGGCTTATGATCATGTGGTAGAGCAGGCACAGGCAAACTCAGCCCTCCAGATGTTTTGGGACTAGAACTCATCCCATCATCCCTAGCTAACAGGACCAGTGGTCAGGGATGATGGGAGTTGTAGTCCCAAAACATCTGGAGGGCCGAGCTTGCCTATGACTGTTGTAAAGGATACTAAGCATGTTCAGCTGCATAGTGGCTGGTGCCTATTAGATCGAGTAGCGAAGAAGGCAGGGAGACCAACAGTAGGTGAAGCCAGAACTAGTGTCAGGCTGAGCAAACTGGTGCTTTCTCTGTAGTCTTTTTGGTGCCAAATAAATTCACCCAGTCCTTTTAGCAGTTTTAAATCTGGGCTATAAACTACTTTATGCTGCCTCCTTCAAGAATTTCCTTGAACTTTTATGGCTGATTGTTGGCTTCCTGTTCTTATTATTATTTATCATCTTGCTTAATATTTTGTTGTGAATTGCCCAGGGAATGTTCTTTAATGGATGGCAATATAAATCTTAATAATAATAACAACAACGGCTTAGCCCCCGCGCCAAATTGCCGGTCTGCTCTCAAGTGGAGAAATGGGCCTATTCTGAACAGGCTGCCTCCAAAGTAAGTTCTTCTTAAGGGAATAACCTTCTCTCTCTCTCTCCATCTTCTCTCAGAAATGCTTCTCTCTCTGCGCTTTCTGATGCCCCCGTGTCAATCTCCATCTGTGTCACGGCCTCTTTTGGAGTGGGTGGCAGAGAACGTAGAATATTAGGGAATATATTGAGTTTGAAAAGTTGCCCTGCGTGGGGACACGCTAGCAAGAGAGAGAAATCAGAAGGGGAGGGAGAGGGAGATGGTGAGGCTGAGCACTGCTAAGGCTGATGAAGAGAGACAAGGAGCAGTCAAGAGTGACGAAGAGTGACCAAGGAAAACCAAGGCAGCAGCCGAGGAGTGCAGGGGACTTATTGAGATTCGGAGGCACCGGAGCGGAGCAGCCGACTGTGGCTGCTGGCAGATGCTGAGCAGTAAGCGGGATTTACAGACTTCTGTCTACTTACCAACAAGTTATTTCCAGGCATTGCTTCTCGGCTGGGATGGAGTTTTCAATCACGATGCATGAGGTGGGTCTAATTCCAGGGACTCCTCGCTGAGTATGACCTTAGGGCAGGAGGATTGTTGAGTGCCTCACCTCAGCAGGCTGCTGCTTGAAAGGCTCCAGACTCAGATGTTACTTCCCCTGAATTGCTCATGGCATCCTAATATACTGAGAGCGGGACAGCATGACTCAGAGACGGAGCAGATTTATATTTAAAAAGCATAGGCAACAGTATTGGTCCATAAGGGGTTGGGGTTGGGGGTGGGAAAATTCTCCAAAATCTATAGTTAGGCAAGGCCTAAGGCCAACCCAAAGGTCACAAAAAGAGAATAAGCTTTCATGTTCCCCAGAATTCTTCACCAGGCAAGATGTTGCACAGAGCAAGCAGGGCAGATGGGGAGGATAACTTTTTTTAAAAATGTACCAAAATTTTGCCTGATATTGTAACCATAGGAGTCACTTGTAAACTCAGTGCCAAGATGGAGGTTACAGGCTGAATAAGTCTCTGCTGGATGCTATAGATATCAGGTTGCACACCTAGGATTGTGGGGCTAAAGTTGCATACATGCCACACATTGAAAGCACATTCAAAACACACAAAGAATCGTGGAAGCTGAACAAACTACAGTTCCCAGGCTTCTTTTAGGTGTGTGTTAAATGTACTTTAAAGGTATGGTGCATAGCCAAAGCAGCAACGACTGCTCCCCATTATTTAAAATAAATGCCTAACTGTGGCTCTTCCCCAGGTCCAATGCTTTGTGTGAAACACACAGGCTCCTGATCAAGCAGAAATTTATAAAATGTTCAAATTGTTTCTCAAAGACTATTGATGAAAAAAAAGAAGAGGAAGATCATAGAACAGAAGAAGAAGAAGAAGAAGAAGAAGAAGAAGAAGAAGAAGAGGAGTTTGGATTTGATATCCCGCTTTATCACTACCCTAAGGAGTCTCAAAGCGGCTAACATTCTCCTTTCCCTTCCTCCTCCACAACAAACACTCTGTGAGGTGAGTGAGGCTGAGAGACTTCAAAGAAGTGTGACTGGCCCAAGGTCACCCAGCAGCTGCATGTGGAGGAGCGGAGACGTGAACCCGGTTCACCAGATTATGAGTCTACCGCTCTTAACCACTACACCACACTGGCTCTAGAATTGGAAGGGACCCTAAGGGTCATCTAGTCCAACCCTCTGCAGTGCAGGAATCTCAGTTAAAGCATCCATTAGTTAGCCATTAGTTAGCCCAGTGTCAAGGACAGCCAACAGTAATGCCTTTCATTGACCTCCAGCCATTGATCCCCAGTCAGTCCTGAGACCCCTACTGGTCAGCAACCTGCCTGAAGTTCCTGTGTGATTCCTTCTGTGCCCATCCACTGGCACAACTGTCTTTGAATGAGTCAGTCTGTGAGTTGTTGAAGCTAAGATGGTCGTTAGATGCCTGCCTGTCTGCGTGGCCTATAGAAAAACCTTTTAATCCAGCTCAGTTTCTGTTCACTGAGACTTCCTTCCTAATACTTCCAGGCTTAGAACAAACAAGACAGAAAAGCCATTTACCCAATTAGCAATTGTGTGAATGACTTTGAAAAAGCAAATTGTAAGCAAAAGGGATTTGGTTTAAGCACCTTTGACCCCTGCTGCAGTCCAGATCTGGATCAGGCCACTTGTGTCTGCTATCTCCATTGTGTGGGGGTGGGGGTGGCTTGCATTCCCTCCCATGTCTGCAATTTACTTGTAAAAAGTCATTCAGTCTATTAGCAAGTGAGAAAATACTGTCACATCTCACCTGGCCCTTAACTCCTCCCTTGTCAGCCCCCAGCCCCCCAGACTCACTTGCCCCGACTCTGCAACACTAGTAGTCCTATTGGCTTACCTGACTGGCTACTAAATCCTATGCTGAAGAGTGACATATGCATCCCATAATACTGCTGCTACAAAATAACCATAACAGCAGCCAGTGTAGTATTGGGGAGTGGGGTAGAGTGTTGGACTAGGACCTGAAAGACCAAGGCTGAAATCCGCTATCAGCACACAAATCCCCTTACCCCATTCCCCCATGATGGAAAGATTTCTGTTTTAAATTATAGAATTTTTCACCTATACATATGAATTAACATATGCAAATTTTATGCAAATCACTCTCCTTTCTTTGTCCTCTCTTTTGGTGATGCATAAGTGGCCACCCTAGCTTTGAGAAGAGCTTTGTTGCATCCCATTAGCAAAGGTCCTGGCCATGATCAGATGCCTGTTAGCTACCTGTCCAAGGCTACTTAGCTACATTATTATTTGGCAATGATGACACAGATGCTCCTGCGTGAATCCCAGATGGGCTCTAAGGGAAAGTGAGTGCTGCCCTGCAGGGCATGAGCTTGGCAGTGTGCGAGGAAACCATTCCGTCCTGGCACGTCCCATTTAAGCTCTTAAGCTTCTGTTTGATTTTTTGTTGTTGTAGAACATGGAACTGATTAAAATAAAATAAAAATCTCCTTAAGCCTGAGTGTAGATCCTGATGAATATTTCAGCTTTGGGTTGCTCTTCTGCTCTCTCTGAATCTGGAAAGAAGAAAAAAAAAATAGCAGATCACAGTCTACATAAATAAATAGGAACCGAAGAGCAACCTGAGCAAAGAGTGCTGTGTGTGTGTGTGTGTGTGTGTGTGTGTGTGTGATCATGCTGTGGATGCACACTCACTATTTTGAGCACACAGACCAACTTGATGCCCTCCAGATGTTTTGGCTCCTCCACCCCCTGTGGGCCAACTTTGTCAGGCCGAGCTGTCAATCATATGATGTCATAATGTTGTGCCTTTCTTCATATACCTCCTCCTAGAGAGGTTCAGAGGGTGGCAACATGAGAACGGGCCTTTTCTGCGGTGGCTCTCCATTTATAAAATGCTCCTCCTAGGGAGGTTCACCTGGCGCCTTCATTATACATCTTTAGGCACCAGGCAAAAACACTCCTCTTTAACCGGGCCTTTGGCTGATTGACATCCAGTGCCCTTTTAAATGTGTTTGGGTAGGTGTAATTTAAACATACAGTCAGGAGGGGGAGCAGGAAGAAGACATTGGCTGGATCTACATGGAGCTTTTTAACGTTATTAGAACGATATTGGATACCTTGTTCTGAAACGTCACAGGGCATACTGGTAAAATAAAAATGTTCCTTACCTTGTTTCCTCCATAACAACACACTTTCTCATACTGCCAGTTCCTGGTTGCTCTGCAGCACCCTCTAGTGTCACATTTTGATAACGGATTATTAATGTTACAAGCAAAATGTAATGTGTCCAAATCCAGTATGATAACCGTTCCTTATCCCTTCCTTAACGTTAGAAACCATGAGTATAGATCTGACCGTTGTGTCTTCTCCATTCCTCCCGACCCACAACAAGGTGTGTGTGTGTTCTTAATCCTGTTGAGTACTCCTTCCCAAGCAGCTTCCCTGTGTGGAAGGCATGCTTGCAAATGAGCAAGGAGACATGGATTTTGGAGAGTGCTGTTTCAGGGGCAGGGAGGAGAGTTAGGTGGGGAAAAGGAGAGCTCAGGCAGAAAAGGAGCACCCTACATCCAAAGGCATCTGTGGCATTTGCCCGTTCGTTTGAAAATGTCTGTACAGGGGGAGAGAAAGAGTTAATAGGTAGACCAATAGAAAAGGCAGAGGCAGAGCCTACCTGTTTATAAAAGGGCTTAGCCCGAGGTTTGGGTTGGTTGGTTTTAGTTAGTTGGTTGGGAAAAGGCAGTTAGGAAAGCAGTTGGCAGACAGATGGAATTAGAGAGACAGTTAGTGCAGTTGGTTCTTGTGTGAGAGGAGGTAGAAGAGTTAGAGACAGGATAAAAATAACTAAGTGATTTACCGGGGAGGACCTGGTTGGTGGCAGCAGATTAGTGGTGTACGGGTCAATAGTCCGTGAGACGACCGGGGGCTCCATATGAATGACACAGCATTCACTACCAGCACTCCTGCCTTCTTCTGAGAGATGCAACAGGCTCAGTTGCTCCCTCCTACACTCCCAGGCCTTTTCATTCATGGCGTCTCTTTTCCCCCACCTGCTCCTCCTACCTACCCAACTCTGCCCTCCAGCCCTAGATTGTTCTGGGTGGCCCATTCCAAACTGTGAAAATCTAGGGCTGTCACCACCTTACTCAACTGAAACCAAGAACCTCCCACAGAAAAGAATTCTGATTCAGTTCAGGGTTTGGTTGAATCAAATACATAGCCCTAGTATGTGGCCCCTATAAGCTTGGCTGAGAAGGAAATGTGGCCCTCAGGCTGAAAAGGATTCCCTGCCTCTGATATAGGGGAATGGGCTGCCCAATCCCTATACATCACAGGCTCAATCCTTATTTAAAGGGGGGGGGGAGTATTGTCTAGTTTGGCCCAGAACCATGCTTCTATGGTCACTCGCAGGGAGGGGACAGATCAAGGCTGAGATTTCCTTTCTTTTCTAAAATGACTTTCAGCCAGTAAGAAAAGCACAAGCTATAACGTTTTGTCATGATGACATACCTGTGAATATCTATACATCTAACATGATCAGCGTGGGGTAGTTTGGTCTTGACCCTTTTGCTAAATGTCCCTGCACCTCATCTTGCATCTGGGGGACATTTCTCTCTACCACAGCCTTGAATCAAATAGACCACAAAGTGATTTCCCAAAGCATTAAAAAAAAATAATAAAAATCAGAGCGCTAAAAAACATGCTGTGCACCCACTGGATGCATCTACATGCACAGTACGCCTCCTCCTAAGCTGGAGGATTTCAGCAACAATCTAAATCTAAAAATAACTGTATACAATAATAATTACACTTTAGGGACATTGCTGGAAGAGGCGGGGTGGGTCTTTTGTTTCCCATTGGCTGGTGTTTAAACATATGGATTTCACATGGCAAACACACCAACAGCCACTAGGGGGCACCCACTTACCTCAAACTTTTCTTTTTTAAGAAAACGGAAAAATATCTGTAATATTATAAGTGCTGACTGGAGCATACAAAGTGAAGGGAGATGCCAGAATGCCTTTCCTGCTCCCTCTCCAAACAGCGAATACTCACCCTCCTGCCTGCATTATCTAGCCTGTATATACGTAGACACACACCTCTAGCCAGAACGCAAGTTCCCGAATTATTTATGCTGCAAGCGTCCTTTCACAAATATACCGATTGCATAGATATTCGCTTAGCAGTAGGAAGGCTGGAGATTAGCTTGAAAATACTCCACTGGTTGCAGTATGTCTGCACATATGCATGCTAGTTGACTTTAAAATGGAGCAAACCACATTTAGCAGCAAAGGTAGCTATGGAAACATAACCAAAATCGTTCCAGCACCTTTCGTGCCGAGCCAATTTTTGCAGCCAGAGAACACTGTCGAGGGAGGAGAGAATATTGTTTCTTATAAATAATACAATGCAAGGTGTACTGCAAACAGAATCGATATATTAGCAGCTAGAAGTGGAGATGCTTCAGGCTAACGTTCTTAATAGACAAAATTCTGATTCCTGAAGAATTAATTGTGCTGAAAGACTGCCTTTTCCTGGTTTTGTGTTGGTGTCCAGGCAGAAATTTCTCCAAATTTCTCCAATACGTCTCTCTGCATGTGTGTGTGCGTGATGAAAAATGGCACACAGGTACTCACCTCTTAATAAAAGTGTCTTGCATGCCAACACAAAATGTCTTCCATGGGCAGCATAGAGGGCATAGAGCACCATCACAAAAAAGCACTGCATATTTACTTCCTTCTAGGGGAGAGGTTTAAAGGTAGGTGTGTGCCATAAAAAACCCCCACCCTTGTAGACTTCAGCAGATTCCCCAAGCGTCCCTATTTTCCAGGGATAGTCCCTGATTTACAGAAGCCATCCCGATTTCTGATTTGATCCCAGAATGTCCCGCTTTTCCTTTGTTGTTTAGTCATTTAGTCGTGTCTGATTCTTTGTGACCCCATGGACCAGAGCAAGCCAGGCACTCCTGTCTTCCACTGCCTCCCGCAGCTTGGTCAAACTCATATTCATAGTTTCGAGAACACTGTCCAACCATCTCGTCCTCTGTCGTCCCCTTCTCCTTGTGCCCTCCAACTTTCCCAGCATCAGGGTCTTTTCCAGGGAGTCTTCTCTTCTCATGAGGTGGCCAAAGTATTGGAGCCTCAGCTTCAGGATCTGACCTTCCAGTGAGCACTCAGGGCTGATTTCCTTAAGAATGGGGAGGTTTGATCTTCTTGCAGTCCATGGGACTCTCAAGAGTCTCCTCCAGCACCATAATTCCTTAGGACATCCCTATTTTCACCAGGGAAATATTGAAGGGTATGGTAGGGCATCCCTATTTTTTTCAGTGGAGAAATATTGGAGGGTGTGCTTCAGTCTTGGTACTTCAAATATTTTGGGCCTAATGGCACATTCAGCCGGACAGAACAGGAAATGAGTTTTACAGTGGTGCCCCGCAAGACGAATGCCTCACAAGACGGAAAACCCGCTAGACGAAAAGGTTTTCCATTTTTCAATGCGCTTCGCAGGACGAATTTCCCTATGGGCTTGCTTCGCACTTTTTCACTCCCCCCCCCTTTTTCTAAGCTGCTAAGCCTTTAATAGCCTTTTAGCAGCTAAGCCGCTAAGCCTTTAATAGCCGCTAAACCGCTAATAGCGCTAATCCGCTAAGCCGCTAATAGGGTTGCTTCGCAAGACGAAAAAACCGCTAGACGAAGATACTTGCGGAACGGATTAATTTCGTCTTGCGAGGCACATCTGTATCCAAGGATCAGGTCAACCTGCATCTTGGAGCTATATTGCAAGGGAGAAGCTTATAGACAGACTCATCCCTCTCACTTCCATCCTGGAGCACTGCAGGGAGAAAAGCGCCTTCCACAATGGTGTATATGTCCTTCATTGTTGTGCATTGTTGTTGAAAATCAATAGATCTCCTCCCACCTAATGTTTTATTGAAAGTGAATGGGGCAGTCATGTGACACAACATAATTTTCTGCCCTGTCACTCGAGTGTAATAATAATAATAATAATAATAATAATAATTTATTATTTGTACCCCACCCATCTGGCTGGGTTTCCCCAGCCACTCTGGGCGGCTTCTAACAAAGACCAAAAATACACTAAAATGTCACACATTAAAAACTTCCCTGAACAGGGCTGCCTTCAGATATCTTCTGAATGTCAGGTAGTTGTTTATCTCTTTGACATCTGATGGGAGGGCGTTCCACAGGGTGGGTGCCACTACCAAGAAGGCCCTCTGCCTGGTTCCCTGTAACCTCACTTCTCACAATGAGGGAACTGCCAGAAGGCCTTCGCCGCTGGACCTCGGCGGCCAGGCAGAAAGATGGGGATGGAGACGCTCCTTCAGGTATAATCTTCCATACCAGATGAAACAGTATTTCAAGGGTTATCTGGGATGGTGTCCACTTTCCATATGTCTTGTAGCAAACATACAGGATAACACATGGTGTTCAGTGTGGTCTATCTTTCTCTCCCCCCCAAAAAAAATATTAAGGCCAAGGCTCTACTGCATTGTAAATTAAATCCTAGGTGTAAAATGATGTCACTTCCGTTTCCTTTCCAGGGATGTTGTATGGAAAAAGAAATGGCTGCCCTGACATCATTTCCCAGGAGCATTTGAAGTTCCTGGAAAGGAAATGGAAGTGATATCATTTTCCAGGGGTATTTTAGGTTACAGTTTGTGTGTTGCGGCACAGAAGTGAGCTTGCCTTTCACTGAAATTAAGCTTTCCCCCTTAAAATAGGGGAGCTCATTTGGGTTCCAGACCTCAAATGATCATATTGCAGTTACATGGAATTGTTTTTCTTTTCATTAATTAAATAATAATAATAATAAAGAGACCACCCACTACCCACCACATTTCATAGAAGAATTTTCCACCATCACCCAAAAGGAACCACACATCTTGTTTATTTTTAATTTAATTGGGGGGGAGGGGCAATGACATGTTGATTGATGATGAGTGAGGGGTAATTAATTAAATGGAAATTGATTTTGGAGCAGAATCTGGTTGATATTAATTGGGGGAAATTAATTGAAGAAGAACTGGTTTAGATTATCTGAGACGGGGTGCAGATTAATTGCAGTGTGTTCTTAGGGTGATTTGAATGTGAAATTAATTGACTTGCCTTGTATATTGAAGTAATTGTTTTTAAATTTGCATCTGTATGCATAAATTAGCATATGCAAACTCTATGAAAATTTGCATCCCTTTTCATCATCTTTTGCTGTTGTTTAAGTTGCAACCCTGCCTGTCCTTTGATCCACATAGCTTACCATATATTATTTGTACTCTGGAGAGCGACAGTCCAGCTGAACACAGTGCCTTTCTACTTCTATGTAAAATGAACCCAAGACTAAGCTGATAGTATGAGCTATAATGCATTAAGCAGCATCACAGGCTGTGTGACTAAGGCCCAGAGATGTTCCTTCCCCAGTCTGGTGCCTCCACATGTTTTGATATACAACTCCCATCAGCCCTAGCCATTATGGTCCATGGGAGGTGTTGTCCAAAAATCTTTGGAGGGAACCAGGCTGGGGAACACTGTCTTAAATTAGCGAATAGTCCAGATCTAGCTAGATAATTGCATGTGCTGATGTCATACAGAGGAGCTTTGGTTCTTGAACTGCTCTGTTCCCGAACGTTTCGGCTCCCAAACATCAAAAACCTGGAAGTAAGTGTTCTGGTTTTCCAACGTTCCTCGAAACCCAAATGTGGCTTCCAATCTGCAAAAAGCCTAGCTGTGAGCCAATCGGAAGCCGCACCTCAGAATCTGTATGTTTTGGAAGTCAAACATCCTTCCAGAACAGATTACGTTCAATTTCCAAGCATCCACTGTACAGTGGTACCTCAAGTTAAGTACTTAATTTGTTCCAGAGGTCCGTTCTTAACCTGAAACTGTTCTTAACCTGAAGCACCTCTTTAGCTAATGGGGCCTCCTGCAGCTGCCGCGCTGCCGGAGCACGATTTCTGTTGTCATCCTGAAGCAAAGTTCTTAACCTGAGGTACTATTTCTGGGTTAGCGGAGTCTGTAACCTGAAGCATATGTAACCCGAGATACCACTGTATTATATTCTCTTGCCTTTGGGTAACCCAGAGCCAGATTCAGGAGGCTGCAAATCTGAGCAGATGATTGGTGTGTAGAGGAGATGCAGGATCTTTTCTGCTGCAATCACTTTCCCACTCAGAATTGCCACTGGGAAGAAACTATATCTTTA